GCGGAGGGAGGTGGTAGGGGAAGTAGTTTGGAAGGACAAGTGGAGAACGCAGATTGCTCAGTAGAGGGGAAGCAGAACACAAACACATCGGCCGGGTTGCAAGTGCAGCCCCGCCGGGAGCAATGAAACTCGTAAGTTGGAACTGCCGGGGACTCGGGAACGGCCCGGCAGTTCAGTCTCTTCTCGAGTTGGGAAGAACAGAGGAGCCCGACATTTTATTTCTGTGTGAGACTAGAATGAAGGAGAAGGAGCTGGGAAGGTTTAGGTGGTTGTTGGGGCTCGCCAACATGGTTGCTTGGAAGGATGAAGGGAGTGGAAGAGGGGTGGCCTTGTTCTGGAGGAAGGGAGTCGATGTCACTCTACGTTCATATGGGAGGAGGCATGTGGATGTGGATGTATCCAGGGAGGATGGAACGATCTGGCGCCTCACCGGGGTGTACGTCAAATCTGAAATGCAGAGGAACGTAGAAACATGGAAGCTGCTGAAAATCCTGAATCAGCAACACCAGACAAAGGCCATGGTTGTGTTTCAGTGACTTCAACGAAATACTAGCAAGCGATGAGAAGGTGGGGGTGCAGACCGGCCGCAGCAGTATCTTGATGCGTTCAGGGAGGCGTTAGACCATTGCAAATTGAGTGATATGGGGTATGAGGGAGATACTTTCACTTGGAGGAATCATAGCAAGGAGATGCGGACATATATTTGTGAGCGGCTTGATAGGGCAGTAGCAAATAAGGAGTGGTGTGATATGTTCCCACAATTTGCAGTCATCAATGGAGAACCGAGACACTCGGATCATCGCCCGATAATTGTGCAGCTGGACGGGGTGGACAAGAAATGAAGGTGTGGAGATAATACGTTTCGGTTTGAGGCTCGGTGGTTGCAGGAGGAGGGTGTGAGGAGGTGATCATGGAAGCATGAGAGAAGAGCTGGATGGGAGGAGGAGGGAGTGTTACCCGAGCCTTAAAAACGGTGGCGACGCAGATGGGCACATGGAGTAGAGAGGTGGTGGGAGAGCTGGAGGGGAGGATAAAAAAGGCACGAGGGGAGCTGGAGAGGTGTATGAAGAAGCCGGTGTCGGAAGGGAAAGTCAAGGAACAAGCTAGACTCCGTGCACTAGTTCACAATCTAAAGGAGAAGAAACATACGAAGTTGAAGCAGAGAGCTCATATGTGGTGGTTGAAGGGGGGCAACCGCAATATCAAATATTTGCAATCTGTCGCGTGTGCAATGAAGAGAACAAATAGACTCAAGGAGATCAGAAGGGAGGATGGTGATGTAGTTTTGGAGGGAGAGGGCTTAACTAATTACGTGTGCTCATTTTTTCAGGAACTGTTTACATCCTCTAATCCTCACCGATTGCCCGAACTGATTGATAAGGTCCAGCCGCGGGTAAATACTGACATGCATGCAATCCTTGATGTAGCCTTTACTTTGGAGGAAGTCAAGGCGGCGCTGGACCATATCGGTGATCTCAAGGCACCGGGGCCTGATGGGATGCCGACAGTTGTTTTCAAACGGCATTGGCATTTTATGGGGGACAAGGTAGTGGAAGAAGTGCTCGCTGTGCTGAATGGAGGAGAAATCCCGGAAGGATGGAATGATACAATGGTTGTGCTCATACCAAAAGTCAAAAATTCGAGAAGAATCAAGGATCTACGGCCTATCAGCCTCTGCAATGTGGTATATAAGTTGGTGTCAAAAGTCATTGCGAATAGACTAAAGATTATCCTCCTGGACATCATTTCAGACAACCAAAGCGCGTTTGTGCCGGGAAGACTCATCACGGATAATGTTCTTATAGCCTATGAGCTATCACACTACCTGATGAATAAGAGAACCGGAAAAACTGGATATTCGGCGGCAAAGCAGACATGAGCAAAGCCTATGACAGAGTAGAATGGTGCTTCCTAGAGGCCATGATGAGCAAGCTAGGCTTCAGCAGAAGATGGGTGGACCTGGTAATGAAATGTGTGAGGACCGTGCGATATCATATTAAAGTAAATGGTGCACTGACTCAACAGTTCAGTCCATCGCGGGGCCTTCGGCAAGGAGACCCGGCGTCCCCCTATCTATTTATGATTTGTGCGGAAGGGCTATCAACAACGCTCAGGGATGCAGAAAGGAGGGAGGCATTGCATGGAGTCAAAATTTGCCCAAGGGCGCCGTGCGTCTCACATCTCTTTTTTGCGGACGACCCCATGCTGTTAATCAAAGCGGAGCAGCGGGAAGCTACGGCTCTCCATGATGTTCTACAATTGTATGAGGACTGCTCCGGGCAATGCATCAACACGGAGAACTCCGCCATCATGTTTAGTCCGAACACGAATGAAGCTGACAGGGTAGCGGTTAAGGGCACCCTTGGAATACAGAGTGAGGATTGGAACGACAAATACCTGGCCTCCCAGTTCATGTAGGCCGTCGAGGAGGCGGGCATTCGGTTACATCAAACGCAATATGTGTGGGAGAGTCAATGGATGGCAGGAGAGGCTCCTTGCGAAAGAAAGCAAAGAAGTGCTTGTGAAGGGGGTGGCTCAGGCTATACCCGCGTTCGCCATGTCATGCTTCGACCTCACCAAAACCTTTTGCGCAGAATTGAACGCACTAATGGGTAAGTTTTGGTGGAGCCAACAGGATAAACAAAACCCGATGCATTGGATAAGCTGGGAGAAACTAGCTAGGCCGAAAGCAATGGGAGGCTTGGGATTTCGAGATATGCACAGCTTTAACATGGCGATGATGTCTAGGCAGGGGTGGCGACTCCTCCAAAACCCCACCAGTCTATGCGCAAGGATTTTACAGGTGAAATATTTCCCCGGACGGTCAGTACTTGAGGCCCAAGTCCAAGATGGTATCTCTTATTCGTGGCGAAGCATTCTGCATGGTTTGGACCTTGTGAAATAGGGATACATTAAGAGGATCGGGGACGGATCCACAGTGAACATCTGGTCGGACCCTTGGATTCCCAGATCATGGTCAAGGCGTGTCATCACACCACGCGGTGCAAATCTCCTCACCACAGTTAATGAACTCATTGATCCAGCGTCGGGAAACTGGGATGAGACGCTTGTTCGGGACACCTTTTGCGAGGAGGACACGAAACATATTCTGAACATTCCCCTCAGGGAGGGGGTGGATGATTTCTATGCCTGGCACTTTGATACGAAGGGAGAATTCTCAGTTAAGAGCGCCTATAAGCTTCATGTTGAGCTAGGTAAACAAGCAATAACGGGAGCGCCCGGGTCGAGCACTGCCGGCGCGGGACAACTAGAGAGATCTGATGATCCGACCTGGAAGCGTATATGGAAGATGCGCTGCCCTGTCAAATTGCAGATATTTGTCTGGCGGATGAAGCACCAATCCTTGGCACTATGCACTAACCTGACAAGGAGGGGTATGAAGCTGGAGAGCTCGCGCTGCTTTCTTTGCGGGCGGGCAGAGGAGGATGGGGCGCATTTGTTCATCAAGTGTAAATCGGTTAAAGAAGGATGGCGAGCTTTGGGCCTTGAGAAGGAACGCATGCAGATCGAGGGACTCAGGGGGTGCATGTAATGCTTGACAAGCTGTGGGAGCTAGATGAAAAGAAGAGGATGCTCATAATAATATTCTGGTGGCATTGGTGGAATAATAGAAACAAGATACAAGAAGGAGAATTGCCTATCCAGATTTCGGAGATAGTTCGGCGAACGAGATGCGATGCACTGGAGTATGAGGAGGTGTACAACAAACCACACAAAGTGGCCCCAATCGCATGGACACCACCAGCTAGTGATGAGATCAAAATCAACCTCAATGGGGCCTTTATGCCGGGAGGAAGCATAGGAGGGTGGGGCGTAGTGGCCAGGGATGAGGGAGGACATGTGATCATAGCTCGAGCGGGTCGGCTCGATCATACAGCGGATGCCTTTGTTGCCGAGGTCGGAGCAATGACCGCAACGGTCACGACAACGGCAGATCTCGGCGTCATTAGAGTCACCTTCGAAACAGACTCGCAGCTGCTCGCTGATGCTCTGGACATCGGGAAGACGGACTCTTCACCCTATGTTGCAGTTGTAGAAGACATAAAACTACAGCTCAAGATGTGGTTTTCGAAGTTCACTATACGATCCTGCCGTCGGGAGGCGAATTCTGTTGCACATGAACTAGCTCAAATAGGTCGCATGTGTTTGGCCAATACTTGTATGAAGTGAGATACAACTGTACCGCCCTTTGTGGCTGAACGTGTGTTGAGTGACATACCCAGCAACCGTTGATTTATAAAGCATTGCTTTGCCTTCAATTTTTTTTTGTGAGTACTACTACGCGTCGGTTTCCAACGCATGCATCCGGGACAGACCCCATAGATACATGACATATCCTAGTCAGCAAGCAGCGGAGCTTGTGTTCCGTGGGAGGGCGAGCGGTGGACGATCCAGGCAGCAAAACAGCCGCGCGATCGCGGGCGGCGAAAGCAGCGCCACACAGCCGCGGCGTCCACCGCACAAACCTTCCTCTTCCTCCCCCCCGCTGCTCTGCCCCAATCCCGCCCCCTCTATTTAAGGCCGCCCCCTCCCTCGCCTCCGCTGCCACGCCGACGCAGCCCAGCCACAAACCAGCCACCTCGCCGTCCACGCCGTCCGCCGTCGTCCCCGAAGGGACGCGGGCAGCCCGGCCGGGAGGTCTTACTTCCTTCCCTTGCAGCCCTCCGTAGCCTTCCGGGACGCTCGGCTCCTCCCCCCTCCCGCCCTCCGGTTTGTCTCTCTGGGCATCACGGCTGCTTCCGCGGACCCCGCGCGCGGCGCCCCCGCTGCGCAGGTGGAGCCGCACGGAGGACGCGGAGCACTCCCCTCGGCCGGGGGCAGCCCCTCCGACCTCCTCTTCCTCGCCGGCGGCGGTCGCCTCCTTCTCTGATTGCGCGGCGGCGCTGACTGCTAAGTGCTAACCCACGCTAAGTCGTCGTTAACAACATCCGGTACGCGGTAGATACAGCAGAGGAGATTGTAAGAGCAGTCCGGAGGAGATGGAGATGAAGCTGACGATTAAGAGGGTTCCGACGGTGCTGTCCAACTACCAGGAAGAAGGAGGCGGGGGCTGCGGCAGGAACTGCCTCGGGGATTGCTGCTTGCCTGGTGCGTATTATGCCCTGCCCAATTTTCATCTTGTTTTCATATTGGGAGGTGCAGCTCAGCTCATTTTATCCTCGAATTCGTCTATTTTTTAGGTTTATTTTGTTTCCTCTGGGGCAAAAGTTTTCTATTTCCTTCGATTATACCCTAGAATACTACTCCCTCCGTAAACTAATATAGGATAAGTGTTTAGATTACTATTTTAGTATCTAAACTCTCTTATATTAGCTTACAGAGGGAGTACTGATTACACTGAATTAGAATATGGGCTTCTTCTGCTATATCTAGCTATGTTTAGTTTAGTTTTTTTTCGAAAAGGGGGGTTCGCCCCAGCCTCTGCATCAGAACGATGCATTAGTTTTAGTAGTATGAATTTCTCGTTGTCCCATTAATCTAATCAAAGTTTGTTTTTAATTAGACAACTGAAACAAAGTTCTGAAACTTTCATTCTGTTGCCAAAAAGTTGCAGATTTAAACATCCTTTACTAATTAAACATTCTTTTTCTATAAACACTTGTAGCTTCCAAGCTCCCCCTCTATGCTTTCAAGGCCGACCCAAAGAAGCCTGCGCAGGATGATGAGCTCCCTACCGAGTTCTTCCTAAATTCTCTCCTCCTTGCACAGGTAAGAAAATACTAGCGATCAAGTGAACCCTGGCTCCTACCTCATTTTGTT